AGACGCCCTCGTGCCTTCTGTGAAGCCGCCTGCGGCGTCGGGAAAGCCTCGCGAAGCTTCTCGGGAGGCGCGGCGGCTGCTGAGAAACCCCGCCGCCTGCTGGGAAAGCCTGCCCCTCGCACTTCCGCCTGGGCTCGCCGCCGAATGGAGTTCCTTTCGGTTGTGTCTCTGCTTGGGTTCTGCGGGCCTTGCTGGATGCCTCTTCGGGCCTGTCCAGGTGGCTTTGTGGGGAGCATCCAGGAGAAATCTAGTAGCCTTTGGGAGCTCATTGGGCCGACTGGGGTAGGTCTTGATCTCCTTGTAGCCGCGTTGGGGCGGTCTCTGACTGTCTCCGAGTCGCCGAGAGGCCTCACAGGGCGCCTGGGAGCAGCAAGGGGGAGGGGGCGTGCTTTTCGAGGACGCGCCACATGTGGGCCAGCCCCAGAAAACTGGCGTACCGTCAAGAATTTTGGCTCAGCGTGTCCAGGCACCAGTTCCCTGGCATCGCTCGGACGTGTGTATTTTTTCTCGGCGAGGACCCTTGAGGACCATCCTGGACCATCGAGCAAAAAAACACGCACGAAACCGAAAAATGCACGGGAAATGGACGTCCGAGCGACGGCTCTGGCCCCCTACTCGTCGGCGTGACACGCCGACCACGTCCCTGTCCTCGGGCGTCAACGTCCCAAGCCTCTCCCAGCCTCTCCCGGCCTGCGGAGCGGAGCGACACGCTACATCCGCTTGCAGGGCATATGTGCGTGGCGTGCGGCAGGGGCCGCCGCTGCCGCCGCACGCCGAGCAGGAGTTCCCGGCCGCAGCCCTGCCAGACTGCAGTCGGGCCCGTCCCTCAGAAAAGGGGGAACGTTCAAAAATAGTAAAACAACAGTCTGGGGACGATTCCTTCTGCATTTGTTTAACTATTCGGGAGTATTTTGGGGGTACTTCTCATTCTTCGCCCAGAATCCGCCTGTAGGGGGACGGGCCCGACCCAGTGCCAGACAGCCAGCACGCATGCCAGCACGCCCTGGCGTGCCGTGGGCACGGGCGCGGATCATCCGCCAGGGAGACCCGGGCGACTGCCTCTACTTCATCAAGGATGGCAGCGTCGACGTCTTCGTGGCGAGGCCCGGCCCCGCGGGCGTGGCCGCGGCCGGCGGCAGGGGCCCGAAGGTCACCACGCTGGGCAGCGGCGCGCTGTTCGGGGAGCTGGCGCTGCTGTACAACACCCCTCGGGCGGCGACGGTCACGGCCGCGTCGGAGAGGGTGGACACCTGGCGACTGGACGCCCTGGACTTCAAGATGCTGCGCATGCAGTCGAGCCAGGAGCAGTACGAGAAGTACGAGGGCTGGCTGTCGAAGGTGGATCTGCTCAAGACGCTGAACCACTACGAGCTCTCCAGGCTCGCCGACGCCATGGAGAGCCACAGGTTCTCGCCGGGAGACACCATCATCCGGCAGGGCGACATGGGCGACAGGTTCTTCATCCTGGAGTCGGGGTCTGCCGCGGCGTACATGCAGGGTGACGACGGCGAGAAGGAGGTCCACCGGTACAGCACCACGGGCGACTACTTCGGGGAGGTCGCCCTCCTGACGGCGGAGCCCCGCAGGGCCACGGTCCGAGCCGTCGCGGAGGGCTGCACCGCGGCGTCGCTGGTCGCGTCCGACTTCGCGAACCTGCTGGGCCCGCTGGGCGACATGCTGAGGGAGCAGGCGGACAGGTACAGGGCTCGAGCGAAGCGGGGTTTGGGCGGTTTCGTGGGCCGTGGTCGTCTCGATTGCGTTTTGCCGCAAGGGCCACGTGCGCAACGACGAGATCGAGCGAGGGGCAGTAAACACAACACGAAAACAACAAGCACTGGTTGGCTCGATCCCTGGACAGGTACCCGCAGTACAGGGACTTCCTCAGCAGGGCCTAGGATCCAGGGGCAAGCTTAGGGGCGATCGGCTCAGGGAGGTGGTTGCATCTCAGGAGGGGAAAAAACACACAGACACAATTAATCGTCGAGTCCCAAGAGAAAATTTGAAAATATGGGAAGTGGGGGGGAAGAGAAAACCCCAGAAGATATGGGAAATATGGGGAATCCTGTTATTTGTGTGTATTTATTTGTGTGCCCTGGGGCCCCTTCAGCAGCGGCCCCCAGCCGTCCATCCCACTCCGCGCCGGCAGCGGCCTGTTGCCCCACCCCTCAGGAGGGTGAGGCTTCGCTACTGGGAGGCCCGTCGCCGATCTATCGGCGATGTACCGCCGATGCTGGCTCGAGGCTCCCCCACTGAGTTGGTTAACCGCAAGAAGCAATTAAGAACCCTCCCATTCCGGCGAAAGTATAACGCACCCGGCACCCCAGAAGCGTTGACTTGGCACCTCGCACCTTTATGTAAACGCAAACGAGTCCGCTCGCCGAAACAAGCAAACCGCCTGAGACATTATCATCATCATTCTCATCATCAGTATGATTCTTATTATTAGTAGTAGTATGAGTCACGGTGTTATTCTTCTTAGTATTATTATTAGTAGTAGTAGTAGTAGCAGTAGTAGTAGTAGTAGTAGTAGTAACAGCTGTAGTTGTAGTCGCCGTAGTAGTAATAATAGTAGTAGTAGCAGTAGCAGTAGCAGTAGCAGTAGTAGTAGTAGTAGTAGCAGTAGTAGTAGTAGTAGTAGTAGTGGTAGTAGTAGTAGTAGTAGTATTCACCGTTCCCCTGCTAGTAGTCGTCGTAGTAGTAGTAGTAGTAGTAGTAGTAGCAGTAGCAGTAGCAGTAGTAGTAGTAGTAATAGTAGTAGTAGTAGTAGTAGTAGTCGTAGTAGTAGTAGTAGTACTAGTACTAGTACTAAATATCAGTAACAGTAACTAGTAGTAGTAGTAGTAGTAGTAAGTAGTAGACGTAATCGTAGTCGTAGTCGTAGTCCGTAGTCGTAGTCGTAGTAGTAGAAGTATTAAAGTAGTAGTATGTAGTGTAAGTGGTAGTTGTACTAGTTATAGTAGTAGAAGTAAGTAGTAATTAGTTAGTTAAGTAGTAGTAATAGTAGTAGTATAGTGGAAGTGTAGTTATAGTATGTAGTAGTAGGAGTAGTAGTAGCAGTAGTAGTAGCAGTAGTAGTAGTAGTTAGTAAGAAGCAGTAATCAGGAACAGTCGTAAGTGCTGGTGTAGTAGTAAAGTCGTACAATCAGAAGTAAGTATAGTAGTAAAGTAGAAGCAGAAGTAGGTAGTAGTAGTAGTAGTAGTAGTAGTGGTGGTGGTACTAGTAGTAGTAATAGTAGTAGTAGTAGTAGTAGTAGTAGTAGTAGTAGTAATAGAAGTAATCGTAGCAGTAGTAGTAGTAGTAGTAGTAGTAGTTTGGCATCAATGTAGGGAGTAAGAAGTTCCGTAGAGGCAGTAGTAGTAACTAGTAGTAGTAGTAGTAGTAATCGTAGCAGTAGTAGTCGTAGCCGTCACTTTAGCTCGTAAGTCTAGTATAAGTAAGAGTAAGGTAGTAGTAGTAGTACTAGTTAGTATAGTAGTCGTAGTGTAGACCGTAGTCGTGTCGTAGTCGTAGTTCGTTGATTCGTAGATCCGTAGTCGTAGGTCGTAGTCCGAAGTCGTAGTCGTAGTCTAGTCGTAGTCGTAGTCGTAGTAATAGTAGTTAGTAAGTAAGAGATAGTAGTAGTAGTATAGTAGTAGGTTAGTAGAAGTAGTAAGTAGTAGGAAGTCGTTAGTAGTAGTAGTAGTAGTATGGGTTAAATATGACAAGTAAGTAGGTTTGGAACCTTTTCGTCTGTTTGCCAAAGGGCGCGCCTGGCGCCGCTGGCGCGCCTGGCGCGCCTGGCGCACCTGGCGCACCTGGCGCGCCTGGCTCACCTGGCGCACCTGGCGCACCTGGCGCACTTGGTTCACCTGGCGCACCTGGCGCGCCTGGCGCACCTGGCGCGCCTGGCGCGCCGGGCGCACCTGGCGCACCTGGCGCACCTAGCACACCTGGCGCATCTGGCGCACCTGGTGCACCTGGCGCGTTTGGCCACCTGGCGCAGCTGGCGCGCCTGGCGCGCCTCGCGCACTTGGCGCGCTGGGCGCACCGGGCGCACACCTGGCGCACACCTGGCGCACACCTGGCGCACCTGGCGCACTTGGCACACCTGGCGCACCCTGCGCACCTGGCGCACCTGGCGGCGCGCCTGGCGCACCTGGCGCACCTGGCGCACCTGGCACACCTGGCGCACCTGGCGCACCTGGCGCACACCTGGCGCACACCTGGCGCACACCTGGCGCGCCTGACGCATCTGGCGCGCCTGGCGCGCCTGGCGCACCTGGCGCACTTGGCACACCTGGCGCACTGGGCGCACCTGGTGCACCTGGCGCGCCTGGCGCACCTGGCGCACCTGGCGCGCTTGGCGCACCTGGCGCACCTGGCGTGCTGGGCGCACCTGGCGCACATCTGGCGCACATCTGGCGCACCTGGCACACCTGGCGCAATGGCGCGCCTGGCGCACCTGGCGCACTTGGCGCACCTGGCGCGCTTGGCGCACCTGGCACGCCTGGCGCACCTGGCGCACATCTGGCGCACCTGGCGCACCTGGCGCGCCTGGCGCACCTGGCGCACCTGGCGCGCTTGGCGCACCTGGCGCGCACCTGGCGCACCTGGCGCGCTGGGCGCACCTGGCGCACCTGGCGCACTTGGCGCACCTGGCTCACCTGGCGCACCTGGCGCACACCTGGCGCACACCTGGCGCGCCTGGCGCACCTGGCGCGCCTGGCGCACCTGGCGCATCTTGCGCGCTTGGCGCACCTGGCGCAACTGGCGCACTTGTTTCACCTGGCGCACCTGGCGCGCCATATACGAAACATCGACGAAGCATAAACGACAGCCTTTATGCCACATCTACGCAACATGTACGAACAGTTACGAAACATACACGAAACGTCCACGAAACGTATACGAAACATACACGAAACATACACGCCGCATACACAACATATACGAAGCATATGAGAACCGGATGCGAAACATGTACGAACAATATACGAAACATATACGAAACGCATACGAAACAGATGCGGAACGTTTACGAACCATGCACGAAGCATGAACGCAACATATACAACGCATATACGAACCACGTGCGAAACATGTACGAAACAAATACAGAACATATACGAGCCATATAGGACCCATATACGGAACATATACGAAACAAATACGACACACATAAGACGCAAATACGAACCATATACGAACCATACACGAAACATACACGAAACGCATACGAAACATGTACGCACATATACGCAACATATGCGAGACATATACGAAACATGCACGAAACATATACGAAACATATGCGAAACGTACCCGAACATATACGAAACGTATTCGAAACGCATACGAAACGCATGCGAAACATAAGCGACACAAATACGACACATGCACGAAACATATACGAAATATATACTACGGCACATATACGAAACATATCCGAACCGTATACGAAACATATACGAAACTATACGAAACAGATACGAAACATATAGACATGCACAAAACCTGCGCGAAACATACACGCAACGTACTCGAAACGTATGTGAAACATATACGAAACATATACATCTACGAAACACATACGAAATGTATACCAAGCGCATGCGAAAGGATCCGAAACATATACGAAACGCACCCGAAACGCATGCGACACAGATGCGGAACAGATGCGGAATTTGTACGAAACATACACGAAACCTATATGAAACGCATCCGGAACGCATGCGAAACGCATGCTAAACGCATGCGGAACATATACGAAACATATGCGAGACTATACGAAACATATACGTAACATATACGAAACATGCACCAAACATATAAGGACCGCGCACGAAACATACGCGAAACACTTGCGAAACATATCCGTAACACACACGGAACAGATGCGAAACATATGCGAAACATTTACGACGCATATACGAAACATATACGAAACGCATACGAAACGCAAACGAAACATATACGAAACATATTCGAAACAGAAACGATGCATACACGACACATAAGCGAATTATACACGAAGCGCGCACGACACGCGTGCGAAACGTATACGAAACAGATACGAAACATATACGAAACAGGCGCGAGCACACATACGAAACATGCACAAAACATATGCGAAACGCATGCCGAACGCATACCAAACGGATGCCAGACGCACGCGAAACATCTACGAGACAGATGCGAAACGCATGCGAAACATATACGAAACAGTTACGAAACCTATGCGGAATATTTACGAAACGTGCACGACACATGTGCGACACATAAGCGAAACAGATGCGACAAATATACGACATCCATACGAAACACACACGAAACATTTACGAACTACGAAACATATACGACACATACACGAAACATATACGATACATATACGAAACATACACGAAACAGGTACGAACCATATACGAAACATGTGCGAAACATTTACGAACTCATACGAAACGTATAGGACGCATGCGGAACATTTACGAACCAGATACGACACACATGCGAAACATATACGAAACATGTACGACACATATACGAAACAGATACGAACATGTACGAATATATACGAAGCATGTACGAAATATATGCGAAACATGCACGAAATACATGCTGCACATGCACGAAACATGTACAACACATATACGAAACATATGCGAAACAGATGCGAAGCACAGGCAAAACACTTACGAACCACATGCGAAACATGTACGAAACATACACGAAGCATACACGACACATATACGACACATATTCGAAACAGATACGACACATATACGACACATATACGAAACGTATACGAAACATGTGCGAACATATACGAAATTTATACGAAACGCATTCGAACCGCATCCGCAACATATACGAAACGCATACGCAACGCAGACGAAACGCATGCCGAACGTATCCAAAACATATACCGAACATATACGAAACGTACACCAAACGTATCCGCAAATCTGCGACGCGTACCTCAAACGCATGCGAAACGTATACGAATCATACACGAAACACATGCGAAACATATACGACACGTGTGCGAAACATATACGAACACATATACGCAACATATACGAACCATATACGAAACACGTACGAAACAGAGACGAAACATTTACGACACACATACGACACATATGCGAAAAATATACGAAATACGAAATACAGGCGAAACATATACGAAACCTACACGAAACATGGTGCACGAAACACATGCGGAACATGAATCACCATATCTGAAACACATACGCAACAAATGCGAAACATATGCGACACATATACGAAACATACACGACACACATACGACACATATCCGAAACAAATACGACACATGTACGAAGCAGGTACGAAGCCTATACGAAACATACACGAAATAGACACGAAGTATACACGAAATATATACGAAACCTATACGAAACGTATACGAAACATGTACGAACACGTTCGAAACATGTACCAACCATATACGAAACAATTACGGAACAGATGCGACACATATACGAAACCTATACGTAACA